GACCAATGAGGGGACAATCATCTTTGACAGAGGAATGCAATTAAGGGCAACTTGCCATCCAGGACGCTTCCGGTTCTTGGCCCAGCCTGGACAGTGAGAAAATGGAGCCGCACAAACCGCTGAACCATCGAAGCATGTCCTGGCACGTTTGAAACAAATAATATCATCCCGTGAGTAACGACGGCGCATGATAGTGAATGAAAAGGTGAAAATTCCCACAATGTGACGGAGAGCGTGTAAGTGTAGCGCAGCCAATCGAAGGGCGCGCGTTGTTACTTTCTGGATTGCAAAACGATATTCTTGGGATAGAACGGAAGCAAGTCCGCAAACAGAAGACTCATTCATCGTTTTTTCATTTGCTTTTATTTTGACACAAGTCTGAGTTCAGACCGTGTACAAAACAAATCACGGTACATTATTCTTTAATAACAGAAGAAATGTGCATGAGGTGCTCGAGGGCGCGATACTGCTAGATTGCTCACGCCAAAGCAGGAGAATTAACCGGCACTTCCAGCTAACCAAAGCCTGACTCCAAGGGCTACTCCATCCGTTAGCTAGAGATGACATTATTGAACTTGAACTAGGTACTGCGTGTGCAGAACAACAATACCTATTTCAAATCCCTCATGAGCGTGGGATTTTCATTACTATTTTCCTGGACTTAGCCATTCACGTATTCAACAGTTTTTGTATAGGAAGTTTGCATAGCGGCAGCACGTTCCGTCGCTGAAACATGTTGAGATCACTGGATTTCGTGGACTATTCGAGACCTTGCGTTGAATTCACGTCTCCTTAGGAGTCACGATTCGCTGCCTGTTGGGATTGATCAGTATGCATTATGCAGGCGCAAAGAATGAGCAGAAATCTAGAATTTCATCGAACCATGGTTCAATAGGCCAGCGGAATGCAGAGCATTCTTCATGAAAGACCAGTCTGACTGATTGTATCCAGCGGGGTTAGTTTTAGTTTCTCAGCGAGCGCGTTTGGAAAGGTGGATAGGAAAGCCGGTTGGGGCGGCACATGATAATGTAACCTTCTCTGTATTGTGCGTTCAGAATGATCACTGAAGCACGTGGACAGATGTGAGGAAGTGCTTCGATGAGTTTGCACCTTGAAGTGGTGTGATAGCTCGTGCAGCTCTCTGACTCAATGAGCGACACATGATGGTTTTTGCCAAGGTGAAGATCTAATCACACCTGGAAGGACAGAGGGTAGAGGTCAGACAAAGTTGTCTCTTGGTCCTCCCGGTAGAGAGTTCGACCCGAATTGGCGTCTCTGTCGGTAAAAATGGTGGAGGAGTAATTTATCCAAGTAAATGGGCCTCTACTCCGCCGTACCAGCTGCCTTGTGCTTAGGTTCTTGAGAGAACTAAAGGTTTTGGATGAGAACCCTAATCGTTCTCCTGCTTAGTGGCTGGACAGTCTAGCAGTACCTGTCCATCAAGCTCCAATGAATACATAAACAAAAATAATTTCATACTGCATCGGTCGTCGCACAGGATAATCAGGACCGCGTTGCCCATTGCATCGAGCGGGGTGGGTAATGCTAAGTGGGTTACTTCTCAGATATTCCAACCTTTGTCTTCTATTTCCAACCCTCTCCCTTTGCCCCTTATTCCGATCCATAACATCCAATCAGCCGACTTGTTCGTCACTCGCCAAAGATCGTTGCCGAATAGCACTGTAAGTAGTTTGCCTGTAAATAAAATGCAGATTCTGAAGCCTCGTCAACCTGTGAATCTGGGGGCCTTCACAGTGAGAACTCTGATGCAGGTGGGTTAACATTATGGAGAAAGAATGGACAGGAGCCACGGGTACCGCGACATGGTGGAGAGGATCAACAGTGAGACCAAATCAGATGAACAATGCATTTGGCAGCAAACTCGGCCTGTGGGGCTGGATCGGAAGTTTGTCGAAAACACCGGATCTCTATGAGCCAGTAATCCTGATGGACCAAAAGCGAAGGATCCCAATTTGTCAGGATCAACATAGGAACTGGCATTGTCTACAATGTAGGCTCAGGAAAAGCCTTAAGAAGATCGCGAAAACTGGTGGGCCTAAATAGTCAGTGAAATGGAGGTGACTTCTGCATCAGGGAATAGTCAGACTGTTCCCATGATACAAAGCACAGGAGGTAGTCGAATACCGGTCAGTGAGAACATTGGCGATAAAACTGGGCAGAGCATCCACAATAAAGAACGAATTGATCGCTGGGCAAATTATTTTGGTGAACAGTTCAATTGGCCTAGTGCTAATGCGGTTATTACGGCGATTGCAGTGTAAACTCCATGGACCGTAAAATGTGAACCCCTATCGGAATTAGAACGAAGACCAAATCTTCACTCTGCGTCAAGTCCTCGAGTTACATCACACACATCGTCGTCTAGAAGTCTTCCACTGTCAATGTTTACGTATTTTGGCGCGCGTTGGATGGAATGAGCGTGTAAACAACTCTGAGTTAAGTCATCGCGTATTTAGTAATGATTCGATGGAGAATTCGTTGTCCCATCGAATTCAGATTGGTCGG